GCTTTGACTTAATGTCCAGCAGCCAACCCTACATGACAACATGATCAAGTTTAGACCCCACTTGTAAAAAAAAGTTTGCTAATAGTGATACGAAACCTCCTAATCTCAAATTCGTGTGCCCGATGTGCTGTAAACCAATCACCAGGCCACTGGTGCTTGGAGATGGAGAACGGTTTATTCTAATTGGCCAAAACCAGAGGGCGGGAGGAATGGGTTCTTTCAAACCTGCCTTAACAAGAGAAGAAAGCAGGGGGTTTTATAGAGCTAAGAGGCTTGGTGGGAGGAGTTTTGGAGAAACAAAAGGGTCATCTTTTACTCCAGAGAAGCCCTTGGGCAATCTGACTTCTGGGCATCAGCCAGCAGCTGGGGGCTCTGTCATCCAGTGACTGAAACTTCCCCCAAGGCATTCTCTTTCTTCTGCAAAACAAGCTCATAAACTCTGGGGACCCCTGAGTCACCACTCAGGTTAAACAAGAAATTTAGTGAATATCTGCAGTAACCCTGAGGCACCGGGCTTCAAGAGCATTTTCTCAAATGCCATACTTGTGGAATGATGACCCATTATATACTCAAATTCATGAAAGAACCAAGCAATGATAATCCAGTTTTTAAAAGCAATAGCTTCTTCTGCAGAATTAATTTGTTAGTCAATTGAAAGAGCAAGAAAACATTATCATTAACTTAATAAAGAAGGATAGAAGACAACTGCATTGCCTACATTTCAAAATTTCTCATATTTCTGAGTGAAGCAGTATATTCATCTTTTAAACCTTTGTTTCATACTTAAAACAGTTAAAAACCAAATACACATATGGTTATTCTGTAAAAGTAATCTCGTGTGTGTTAAAATTCTCCAGCTACAGTTATCCCTTTGGTTAAGAGATATTTAAATATCTGTTGTGCTTGATGGCAAAAATATCCCTCACACACACATGATTACTGTTTTGAACAGGAGATGGTTCATTTCCCAATGACTCCACAAGTATCTGCTTCAATTAGTTTTAGAAAAACAAATCAGTATTCTTATGTAGCTCTAAAATTAATGTGGAAAGTAAAAACAAACAACTGCTGTATAAATGTCTGAGTATGGACCAACAGCCCAGCACAGCTCCAGTCCTGCATCTCCTCATCTCAGGGGGATACCCTGAGTGTGAGGAAGAGCTTTCCTGGAATGGTTCCATGCTTCTGGGCCACGTACCATGTACTTGTCATTTCACTACATGTCTCCCTTCCCAGTTAGCGTGACCCAGAGACAGAGCTACAAAGGTCTCATCACAGCACTGTCTCCAGTGAGCACTCATTCTACTGGGCTCCCTCCCTATGCTAACACTTGCAGAGCACCATTCTGCATAGGCCCTGCTCTGCACACAGGGAGATTTAGCCCTGGCAAAATAAAATCCCTTCTCGGAGCTTACACTCCAGGGGAGGGCACAACAAGAGCAACTTTCTACAAAGGGAAAGGTGAAGGGAAGCAAAGGCACTAGTCACCTGAGTGTCTGTCAGTGGCCAAGTTGTCTAAGACACCACTGGTTTTTGCCATCGCCTTTCTTTCAGAAAGGACAACCCAACAGGAGGCTTGTCCTAGATCATGGCCACAGGAGATGTCAGCCACCACTGTCCCAAAAACATTCCCGGGCGGCTTCGACTCTTCCTCTCAACTAAACGGAGAGTATATTCTCAACAGTATACAGGACTCGGGGCCAGGAGAGACAGGCGGCCACAAAGGCCTTAGAAATACACTGTTACTCCCACCCCAATCTACCTAACTCCACACAAGATAAAGTAATTTTAAGATTTTATGCTTACACATTCCCCGTGGTTTTAACCAAAGCCACCCTTATGGACATGTGTAAATTTCTGAAATAAGAAGAGTAACAAAAAAGGAAGTCACCAACTCCTTATTTAATAGAAGCCATTACCCTCCTTATATACAAAACTGAAGGATTTTGCCAAGGGCAGCCAACACTATATAACTGTGGTAAAAGCAGAATCTGGAAAATTAAAGGTCAAAAGAGTTGTGAAAGAGCCAGCCCTGATGGCCTAGCAGTTCAAGTTCGGCATGCTCTGTTTCTGCAGCCTGGGTTCGGTTCCCGGGTGTAGAACCACATCACTCGTCTGTCAGTAGCCATGCTGTGGCGGCAGCTCACAGAGAAGAACTAGAAGGACCTACAACTAGAATACACAACTATGTACTGGGGCTTTGGGGAGAGGGAAAAAAAAAGAGGAAGATAGGCAACAGATGTTAGCTTAGAGCGAATCTTTCCCAGCAAAAGACAAAAAACAAAAAACTTAGCTTTTTTTATTTTTATTTTTTAAATTTTTTTGTGAGGGAGATCAGCCCTGAGCTAACATCCGTGCTAATCCTCCTCTTTTTGCTGAGGAAGACAGGCTCTGAGCTAACATCTATTGCCAATCCTCCTCCTTTTTTTCTTCCCCAAAGCCCCAATAGATAGTTGTATGTCATAGTTGCACATCCTTCTAGTTGCTGCATGTGGGACGTGGCCTCTGCATGGCCAGAGAAGCAGTGCGTCGGTGCGCACCCGGGATCTGAACCCGGGCCACCAAGGGCGGAGCGCACGCACTTAACCGCTAAGCCACCAGGCTGGCCCCAAAAAACTTAGCTTTTAAAAAATGTTTTGAAAATCATGCGTTTCCCCCCATAAAAATGCATGTAGACACAATATTTGTGGACAAAGGGGAAGCACAGATCTTCCGAAGCCTTTTGTGTGCCATTACCTCCCAAAAATACTGCCCCAGGACTGTGACCTTCTAGAGCAGAGGTTAGCAAACTTCTTCTGTAAAGAGCCAGACTGTCAATGTTTTCAGTTTTGCAGGCTATACAGTCTCTGTCACAATGATTCAATTCTGTCCTTGTAGCTGGAAAGCAGCCACAGACCATAAGTGAATGAATGAATGTGGCTGTGTTTCAATACAACTTTATTTATGGACACAGAAATGTGAATTTCTTATATTTACATGTGTCATGAAATATTATTCCTCCTGATTTTTTCTAAATATCAGAAAATGTAAAAACCATTCTTAACTTGCAGACCATACAAAAACACGTGGTGGCTAGGTTTGGCCCATGGGCTTTAGTTTGCCTAACCCTGCCCCAGAGAGTCAGCAGGGGCCCAGTCCTTGTTTCTTGCACTAGAGCCCAGCACAGTGCCTGGCCCTAAGTGATCAATAAAGAAGTAGATGTGTATTTGTCTAGTTGAGGCAGCAAGCAATGGTGAGAACACAGGAGTAGGAAGTGAGAAACGTGTTCTGATTCCATCTCTGCCTTCAGTTCAGTTCTGTTTGAACATCACAATCTCTCTAGACTCGACTTCCCTATCTGTAAAATAGAGCGTACTATTAGATGATTTATAAAGTCTCTTCTACCTCTGAACCTCTATGATCCTTCATTTACGAGGTAAGAGAAAACTGTATCCACGAGCAGATCAACAATACAAGAAGTCACCCAAGTTCCAGGTGAAGGTGAAACTTTTAGCATAGGGAAGAGGAGCAGCATCTGGGTAAAGCATGTATCTGAAACACACTAGCAGGATGGCAACTTACTGTCCAAAGAGAAGCCCAGATTTCAGTCTGTATCCCTCTTCACTGCTACACAAGGACCTAAGCCAAACCTGTTAGATGCACCACAGCAAGATGCTAGAGCAGTGTCTCAGATGAACATTTCTCTTCAGAGGAAAATGGCTCCCCCAAACAAACCAACATCATCTTATTTTGTTTTACGTTATCCTGCTAAGCATGACTTGAGAGAGACACACACAGGTAAAGGGACAACTACTATACTGCAAAGCAGAGGGCAAGGAGAGTGTAAGAGACAAAGGACCCAGGAGCAGGTGGCCCTGAACTGGAAGTAGAATCAGAGGTCATGAGGTGAATGAGGAACAGGGAAACCACAGTGCTCCTGGCAGAGAGAGCAGCAGGGACACTGATACAGAGAGATGGAGCTGGAGAGGTAGGCGAGGGCTGAGCAGACTCAGGAGCACACCTGCTAACTAAGGCAACCGTGGTACAATCAGACCAGCAATTGGGGTCCCCTCTCCTGTCCAAGAATTACAGAAAATGGATGGGAACTGTCAAAGGCAGGAAGCAGGGAGACCAATTAGGAAGCTTTGCTAGGTAAGAAATTACCAGGTCCTAAAGTCAGGTAAAGCTGGTGTGGCTTACATCAAAGAAACATGTAACAGAATTCTAGAAAAACTGGTGGCTAGCTAGGCACGGAAAAGGGAAGGGAAGGAAGCTGTCTATGCTAATTCTCAAGTGCGCTGTCTTAGGAGATGGGGAGGCTGGGGTACAACCAACTAAGCTGCAGAAGCCAGGACAGGCAAAAATCAAACAGAAAATACTACCCATGTTGAATGAACTCCCACTCTGAAAAAGGGACAATGGCATCTGAACAGCTGAGTATTACAGAGAAACAAACCCAAGTCCTAAAGGCTCTATTAGGTAAATGACACCCTCCATCGAAAGGCATTTTTGATAATTTTAATCAATCAGCAAAATAAGGATCATGACTTCTAATCAATACTGGTCACACTTAGAAAATTCAGATGGATTCTTAACATGAGTCTCAGTGTTTAAGAGGTGTATAAAAGTAGGTGGCTTCAGAAAGAAACTTGCTGTAAAAAACTACCAACCATAACCTATTTAGAGTGAGACACCATTTAAAGCAAGTCAACGTGGTGGTACAGTTTGTGGATGGCAAATTAAATAGAGGTAGCTAGTGCTGATTCAAGAGATAAATGCCAAAGGCTTCAAGTGAAGACAGGAGAAGCTGGCAAAATCTCTCAAAGGTTCCAGTAGACCTGTCATTAGAAGCAGAATCTTCAGAACTCCCCAGACTTACGAAAGCCTGCTTTCTGGAGTAGGACCAAGATGCAGGGAAGGAGCACCTACCCCAACCCCAAGATAATTACCAGGCATGCTGGGTAACAGCCATGGTAATCAACAGAGACACCACCCACCAAGCAGCTGACCTGGACACTCACCTTTTCCATTTACGGCTAATCCCGTGGCCATGGCCGCAGTCACGGGGCCAGACACCTGAGGCACTAGTGGGTGTATTCGGGGCCTGCTCCCCATTCTAGCTCGCTCTGCACCAGGGCCCAGTAAGGCTCCAACCGGCTTTTCGGCCGCCACTTCTGGCGCCACCGTGTCCTCATGACCCTGCTCGACGGGGTCCAGTTTCTCAGGGCTCTCATTCTGAAAGCCGTCCACTGTGGTCCTGCTCTTAATGGGGCTCTTAGGCACAAGTATCTTTATACCTGATTTTACTAGGTCCATATTCTTCCGGTTTGAGAGAGATGGAGCTGTGTTTTTCCTGAACTTCTGGCTGGCGGCAAATAACTGACTGTTTTTGGACTCGTGGTCTTTGCCAACTACTAGTGATTTAGGAGAGGTCTTAGAAAAGTTGCTGTTGGTGGATCTGGAAATCTGTTTCCTAGCATTGTTTGGAGAGGTCCTATTTGTTCTGGTTAACGTGCTTTCTTTCTGCTTTTCAGTGTGGCGTCTGTTAAAGTCATGAATATATTCCTCACAGTTCACAAGATGCTGCTCTGGTTCCCAAGTGTCATCCTCGCTGTCATAGCCTTTCCATCGAACCAAATACTCTGTCTTCCCTTTTTTGTTTTTCCTTTTGTCAACAATCCTTTCAACCTGTTTATAAAAGAAAAGAAAAAAGTATAAACATATTATCTGAAGAAAGTGCAGGTTTAATAACGAAACATCAAAAATAATAAAAACCACCATAGATAATGAAAATGATCTTCTCTTCTTCAAGCCCAATCATCTGAAAATAGAAAAGTGACAGAACATTTGGGATTTTAGCAATTTCCTTGAAATTAAGTCAAACAAAAAGCTAATATTTCATGCTCAGAATATATAGATGTGCGTTACGTAGCTTACTTTTTTGTGACTCAATTTTTTAATTTTTACATTAGACCCTGACCACCTGAGCTGGTTTTCACAGTCATAACTGGAACAGTACTAGTCACCCACAGCCTTCTGCCTGGTCATCCTCAGGTTACCAACAGCAGGCACTTAAACAATAGCTTAGCTGTGGTAAATACAACAAGCTATGAAGGGCTAAGAGCCTTCTGAGTTGTGGAACTGGCTCACCGAGGAAACACGGTTGGTACTGCAAGTATCAGAAGCACTGGGTTAAAACTAAAAAGGTCAACAGAGAATGTAATGCTTCACTGGTAATAAAATGGTCTAGAATGGCCAGGTTATTTATCTTCAAATCTTGGTTTTAACTAATTTTCTGCTAACATCTTTAAAGGAAGATGCTGTTAATCTCTGAATTTGATGATCAATACATCCCATATCAAATTTATAAATTCACACAACCGTGCCATGAAACATATTGTTATTATTGTGACAAATTCTACTACCTTAAGATCCTAAGTGTAAATGAGAGATCTTCTGTGACTCACATGAACAAAATATATTTGACATAACGCCCCTACATTATTGGAGAAACACTTAGAATCTGTTGGCACCTCTCCAGTTAACCATCAGCTTGCTTCCTCAGGGCAGCATGCACCTCTGCACCTTGTAGGCAGAGGCCTACAGTCATATAGTAGCTCTTTAATTAAGTACGCAAAGGTCTAAGCCCAAGAATTATCAAGAACATCAATAAATTTCTGGCAAAGTTACAGACTAGATCAGATGACACAATGACGTATCCAGTTTTCCAACATTCCAAAAAACAGAGGCTAACTGAGGACAACTACAGACATTTTTGGAGAATGGGAGAATAACCCACCCCATCATCTCCCTTACTCTTAAAAAAATCCCCAAACTCTCCAATATATCTACCTGGAATATAGAGAACAAAAGCCCTTAACTAAAGAAAAGTCTAAAATTAAATACACATTATTGCTTCCATGCAAAAGGATTAAGGGTAAAGAAAGGCCTTGCTTCAGCAGAAGGCAGATTTCACGGAAACAGATGTGCGCAGAGTAGATAACTGACATGAGATCCCCACGTGCGTGTCCTCACAGTCCACAACAGAGCACGCAGAGCTTTTGACAGTGATTTCCCCCTGCTTCTTTGCTTGTAAAGAGTTATGTATAACGGCACATTTCAATTCAAGTAAGAGATGTATTTCTGGAAAATTACACGCAAATCAATTTTATGGCAGAAACACCTTAAAAATTTTAAATACAAGGGGTAAAGAGATTGTCTCTTAAGAGAAAATTATGTTTGATACTTATTTTCTTTTGAAATCAATTTCCATTCCAGAAGCACGAAGTATCCTAAACCAGAGCACCTCATTCTCTTTAAAGCTGAAGCAAGGGTCTGGTGAAGTAGGATGAGTTTCTTTTCCCTCCTCTCCTTGTATCACTGGTTTTTCCCCTCCTGGGCTGATGCCCCACAAGAGCCTTCACCTGCCACTACCCCACCAGTGCCTCTCAGGAAACCAAGAGGAGTTACAACAGGACCAGCTCGGCAGCTGCGGTGGTACGTGTGCTGTGTTTTATGTATATCCAGTGGCCAGACTCTGTTTAGACACTGAAAGAAGGCAGTAATAAGGGACACATTAGACCACGGGTTGGCAAACTTTATGTAAAGGGCCATATGGGCCATATGGTGTCCCAACCAATCAACTCTGCCACTGTAGCACAAAAGCAGCCACTAATAATGTGTAAATGAGGTGATATTAAAAACAAAACAACGCAACTCGAAAACTATGATACACAACTATGTACTGAGGCTTTGGGAAGAAAAAAGAAAAAGAGGAAGATTGGCAATAGATGCTAGCACAGGGCCAATCTTCCTCAAAAAAAAAAAAAAAAGAAAAAGAAAAACAAAACAACTCTATGGATACCAAAATTAGAATTTTGTTATTTTATGGGTCATAAAATATACTTCTGATATTTTTCAACTATTTAATTGACCTGCAGGTCACAGTTTGCTAACCCCTGCATTAGACTACGAAGGAGCAAGAGGATTCAGAATGCAGACACAATGCCCTTCTAATTCTCGTGGGGGACATGGTTTGCAAGTCGACAAGACACATATGGCTGACGAGGAGACAACGAGCATGCCTTGGAAGTGGCAGGTCTACAAGACTCACACTGGCAGTAGACACGGGGTGGGAGGTTTAGGCCAACAACCACCACAGGTTTCTAATACCAAGTTCAGACTAAACTGGGGACACGAGGGTCCCTCTCCCCCCAATTCAAGGACAAATGTGCTTCCCCCTTTGAAAGCTTAAAAGTAAAGTCCTGTTCATTTCCTATTCTCAGTGGCTAAAACAATCTCCCACAAAAAGGCATCACCAGGATTCGACAATATTTTACTAGAATATTAAGCCTAAGATTATTTCCAGAGCACTTTTGTGGTGATGAGGGAGGAAAAACTTGATCACAAGACAAACACATAAAAAAATCTTTCATCCATTTTTCAGTCCCTTCGCCTTGGGTTCTCCCTCTGTCTACCAACATAACTATTTCTGAAAACTAGTATCAATGAATTGTCTTTCTCAAAGTATATGCAGGTATTTGCTTATAGTTACAGAATTTCAATGCAAAGAATTTTATATAAAACAAACTCTTCACTGAAGTACAAAACTGCAGACAAGTTCTTCTAAGATTTTAAAAAAACAAGACAAAATGAAGGTGGAAAGGCATGAAAATCTCATTCAGATTACCTAGATACTGTTTTGCAATGTCACCCACAATCACATGTGGAGTAAAATTCTGGAAAATCCAAATCATAATAACCATCTTTGACTACCAGTGGCATAACAAATCAACCAAAGTTCTTTTTGTTAGGATTTGCTTTTAAAACTCAATCTAAAAAATCACAATGTGAAACAAGTAAAACCAGGCTTTCCTTAACATTATAAAGTCCTCTAACAGTTTGCAGAGTGGTGAAATTAATCAAAAAGGATCATTCCAAACACCTAACCCGTTTCACCTACCTCAGAGCACACCCCGATATCTCTAGGCCCAGAAACATGCTGAATGTACTACAGGGTTGCAGAAGACAGAAAGAAAAGGATGGACAAAAGGTTCACTAACGCATGAACAAAAATCCAAAGAGAAACCCAAACTGGCTAAAGAGCTCAGTAAGAGAAGGAAGAAAAGAGTAACTCTGCTATTGGTGCAATTAAAATATCAAACAGCCTGAGCGAGGCATGCAAATATATCGGCTTGCAAGAAAAAGACCAAAGTTGAAAAATAATCACAGTCAGAAAAGTCTGGCCCATTGTATCATCTTTAGTAACTGTGTCAACAGCCACACTGGTTGCTAATACTTGCTCTGATTCCTCCCAGAACAGTGGGAATAGGCTGTCAGTATAACTTTGAAACCACAAGCAATGCTGAAAGCTTTTCTCAGGTTTGGGTCTTGCAGGAATGGCTGGATAATCCGGAACAGCAGATCATCACTACAGCAAAAAAGAATAAAAAACCCTTCTTATGTCACAGAATTCTGGTGGGCCTTTGAAAGGTAATAGCTCTGTAGATGAGGAAGATAACGTTTCCATCAGCCATTTGAAAATTGTGTTTACTATTAAGAACAGGAAAAAGTTGCCTTAACTACTAAGAACATTTATTAACTATTGTGGGAGATCAAAATTTGGCCACCCTGAAATATATCTCTTTACCTTGATTGTTTTCTCTGAAGGACATTTGACCTCCCCCACTAACTGCCTAAAGAATTTGACATGGTGGCTCCTTCCTGGAAGAGATCTTCTATCATGATGGCTATAAAGATAATGTAAAATAGATGTTACAATGGGAGGGGCACCAAGCCCCTTTTATCAAAAACTCTGTCTCTCCCTGACCACATTATCTATAGATGACCCCGAAAAGAATTGTCCTCCTGCCCTCTGAAGTCCCAGGCCACTACCCACCCCCAACACGCTCCTCGCTCTTAGCTGCAATACTTAAGCAAGAGCTTAGACAGAGGGATGAGTTGCTCATTTCTGAGCTTCTCCCATGTATACATGTTATTAAACTTGGTATTATTTTCTCCTGCTAACCTGTCTTGTTGATTATTTGGCCAGCCATAAGAACCTTAAGGAAAAGGGCAGAGGGAGATTCTCCCTCTTCCCCCGACACTATCAAAAACAGAGGCAGAGAGTTCCACGGAAAGAAACATAGGAATAATATAACTATCTGATGACACTGAAAAGAAACCAAAAACCCATAGAACCTGAGGGGATTAGACCACTGAAACAAGGGAACCCAATGACTTCTGCACTCCCCAATCTGCTGCTGGTAGAACTCCAGCAGAAAGCACAGTCTTACAGGCTTCAGGTGTCAGAGGGCAGAGCTGGGAGCTGACAGAGCAGTTAGAAATCTAGGAAGAAGACCACAGACAGGAGGGCCTCCGAGAAGGGGGAGACCCCAAAACAACATATCAATCTCTTCAAATCCTGGGCAGACTCTTGAACTACACCAGGCCAGTGGACAGCAACAGAACCAACTGTTGCTTTTCCCAAGACCAAATCCAGGTTCAATGATTCATTAGGAAGACTCACAGGACGCAGCACACAGTCTCACGGCTACAATTTATTACAATGGAAGGCTATTAAGCCGTATAAGCAAAGGCAACAAGTGTGTGGGGTGAAGTCCAGTGGAAACCAAGCACAAACTTGCAAGCATCCTCTCCCAGCAGCCACACAGGACGTGCTTCAACCT